AAACAGGACACCTTTTGGAACAAAAGGTGGTTAAACAAAAATAGACCCGGGCATTTCCTTGTTTTTGAATTTACTTGCTTCTCTCCCGTTCCTTTCATAGGTTAGTTGAGACTTGAGCGGGCAGTTTCTCCATCTTCCATCTCCCGTGTTCTGTAAGACCAGGACTCTCCCAACTTCTGCCTAGTCTTTTGGCGGGTTTCGGCGGCCTGCCCTTTTCAATGACTCTTCCCACACTCCTTTAACACATAAGGCATCTATGTTGGCGTGCCTACACTAAAAGAAAAGTCCTACTCCAAGTGCATAAAGAGCATACACTTACTTGGGGGATGCTCCTGTTCCAAGTGACAGGTGCTCCCCACGCATCCCGGTATAGAAAGAAGGAAACAAACCCCAGAGGTGCTTTTCCCTGGAATCTGCAAAGTGAGCCGCCCCGACGCCCCAGAGGAATGTATGTGGGGAGGGGTAAATATGGGCAGGGCTACGCTTTAGTCACAGGGTGCAGACGTGAGGATCCCTACTTTACTGAAAAAAGGGGGCACCTATATGAGTATAGGGTGGCTTTAATGCCCTGCAAAATGGAATAATCCAGAGAATAGACAATTCCTTTGGAAAACGGGATAAACTGCGTGCAAAACGATTCTTTTTTGCTTCAGATAGGAATGCACTGAAGGTTAAAATCTACACCACCGAGGACCCGTGGTCTATCAGATCTACTATTTCCGGTACAGAAATGCTTCTCTAAAGGACGGGATGTGCATTTTCTATCCTGGATTGCCTCCAAGCAGGGAATTTGGAATTGGCCTCGGTTGGAGGCAGCCGCCGCCCCATGAGTTCACCTCTCGGGATTAGAGCTCCGACAACTGAGCACCCGGATATTTGATCTGCGGGATCTGATTTCTGAAATCACAGATGTTCGAGCCTGCCTGCCTACCTGACTTCGACTTACGTGCTCAGAGATCCCGGCAGCCAGATAATCATTTTATTTCAAATAGTAAGAGACACTTTGATAATGTCCCCTTTCTTTCCTTTTCTCTGCCTCTTTCGCACAAACTTCCCTTCTCACTTGAAAGTTCAGCTTGAAGAGATTTCCTTCTTTCCATACCAGAGAGATGATTCCCTCATTTTCTCTCTCAATACAAAAACAAAAATTTGAAGGAACTAGCTCAATGGCGGAAGCAGTGAATAATGATGAACAGGTGGCCAATCAAATACAAACCTCTTCGGAAGTGGAGTAGTTTGCATTTTAATTTATATTAATTTATTTAAATTCAAATTAATTGTTGAATCGGATCTGTAGCTCATGGGCTGGATTGCACATTCTCTCCACCACTTTCTCCCCAGGCCTAACTATTTTCATTCAGCTTCATTTTTTTTCCTTAGATTTTTTTTTTTATCTCCAGGAATGCAAAACAGAGGGGATCTCTCTTCCTTTTATCTCACAACAATCCTCAGAGATTGAAAAAGGAAGAGAGTGACAGGCCTCTAGTGAATTTTGTGACTGAGCGGGGAGTCTCCAAGCTTTGGGTGGTCTTGGGTGGACTGGAATAGATTTACCTGAAACTTATCCAGATGCGATTCTAGCTATAAACCTATGAAGGCTTTGAGTGGGGGTTCTAGGAGACAGCCAGTTTGGACTAGAGACTGTGGGTTCTAGTTCTGCATTAGGCACAAAAGATGATCTTGGCCAGCCCCCCCCTCTCTCAGCCCTAAGGAAGCAGGAAGTGGCAAATCATTCTGAAATTTTGCCAAGAAAACTGCAGAGACTAGTCCAAGCAGAAGAAAAACAAGGCAAAATCATTCAAAGAAGTGAATTTAAAAACATTTCCCATATGTCAAATGGTGTTCCTGTGGCATATGTCACTACAGAAGTTGTCTATAAAGGTATTTCTAAATTATGTTGGAAATGTGAGCAATAGGTGCATTTTATCATGTTTGGTGGGCATGTAAAAACCAGAATGTTTTGGAGGCAGATATAGTCATTAATACAGAAGATCTTAAAAGCCAATTGAAACCATATATCGTTCTTTTGGGGTTGATGAACAGAGAGTTGGAATAAAAGTAATAAAACTTCGTTTGTATGTATGATAACCACAGTAATATTATTATATACTCAAAAGTGGAAATACTTAGCACTATCTGCTGGAAATTGAATAGTTGGGGAAGATGATGGAAGTTGCAGAGATAGCCAGGCTGTCATGATTGGAAAAAAAGGACAACATATATGTTGATTGCTGAATTGGAAATCCCTTATAGACTTTATCATGGAACAGAAGAAAATGATTGTATGATTTATGGCTTTGACTATTAGAAAAAAGAGGTACCGGTAATAGGGGGAAAGGGGAGCTTTTCTTATTGTAACCATCGAGAAAAAGATAATTTTGTAGTTGTGCTTATATTTACAACTAAAACTAAAAGATCAGTAAGCTACTTTCTTTTTCATTCTTTCTTTTTCTAACCTTTTTTTTTTTAGTCCTTATTAGCTTTTATCTCCCCCCCCCCCAAAAAAAAAACTCTTAATAAAAAAAAAACAATAATATGAAATAAAATTCTTTGCCTCCCGGAACATCCTGAGGAAAGGAATGACGTCAAAGGGTGCTTTTCAGCCTGGCAGAGATCACGGTGAGGGCAGAAAACCCCCTGCCCCGCCCCCTTATTGGCTGCCCTTCGCCCAACCTCTGGCATCCCGTTGTTGGGTTGGGCCAGGGCTCTGCACCCTTAAGCACTCAAAGAGTCATTTGGACCCGTTTCCCACCGTTGGGCAAAAGTCCTGCCGAACTTTGGAGGGGATTCGAGCGCAGCCTCGCTTGGAAACTCCTTTCCGGAAGACGTGTAGGTAGAAAATGTGCTCCCGTGACACGTTGATCCTATTCCCAGAGCCAAATAAATGGCCTCGCTCAATGAAAGAGGTTCGTTTGGTTAGAAAACACATGAAATTAGAAGCTCAATTTGCCCCCCAGGGGGGCTCATTTCTCAATCTCTCCCCTAGAACAATTCCAATAGCAGTTGGACTGATTGAATATTAACTCAACTGTAACACAAGGCAACTCAGGTACCGGTATCATTGGTTTGTGTGCGTGTGGGGGGGCGTGTGGGGGGGCGGCAGAGAAGGCTTGCGGAGCATCCCCGGAAGAGGCAGCCCTTGAGGCGCTTAGGATCGGGGCGAAATAAAAGGGTTGCCCATTCAAGCCTTAGAACCCACCGGCCATAACACACTAATGAGCAATCTCAACAGGCCTTTTGAGGCAACATGGGGAAGAGTACAAATACGGCTCCAACTTTGGACTCGGCTGTCCTTTTGAACTGAGGTCTGTGTGGCGTCTTACTTCTTGCAGCTGGAGTTATGAGACCGCCTTTATGTGGCAGCGAGGTTTTCCTACTGCGGGATGTAGTGGTCTTTTGGAGGGCGTTAGAAAAGGGGACATTAGACTCTCAAGGTTGCCGGAGGAGCATCAGCCAAGGACAGCCAACGGCTGACGGTCAGGAGTTAGCGGGCTGCGCCGCGCCACGGGGGGCCTGAGCCCGTATTTCTGGAGACAAGAGCACTTCAACGGAAATGAAGGGACAACACAACAGACGTCCTTCTTCTCTCTCTCTCTTTCTTTTAATTATGCTCATTATTTTAAAAAGGTGAACAGCGGGTCACTTTTTTTTCTTTTGCAACCAAATAATAAATATTATTTAGGAACTTTTCCATTTCTTTATTTTATAGATATATATAGATATATATATATAAAAATAAACAGGCGATTCAAAAAAATCTCTCGAAGGTGACAGAGCTAAGAAGGGGAGAGGGAGGGGGGGGACCTTTATTCAGAAAGAAGCCCTGAAGGGCGGGGTGGGGGTGGGGTCTAAATATGGCAGCGCAAGCCAATCTTCATGTCTCCCTCCAGCTCCCCTTTTTTCCTTTTAACCTCTATGCTCGAGCAAGAAAAGGAAGTGTTGCTGTGGCTTCTAAAAGGGGGGAAAGGACCTTAATCCATAGGCCCACCCACTCAGGAAACTGTAAAGGACCACCCCCCGCCCCCCTTGCTCCCGTCTGGAGAATGCGTCGAGGAATGCCACCCCTTAACCCTCGGAGGCCACCCCAGATGCGGGGACTTCGCTTTCTTTTGGTTTCCTCGTATTTGCTGCTCCAAATGTAACGCGGCGACCCTAAAGGCCGTGGGCTCTTAAATAAGCCACAGCTTTTAGGCAACGCCTGCGACCGGCTATCCAGCGCCTGACTCACTTTGGAGTAAAGTTTCCAAAGTTGGGACTGAAGATCGAAGGCTGAAATGGCTCTCGCGCCCAAGACCGGCCGCTTTTCTTTCTGAGTAGGCTAACGGGGTCGTTTTGGTTCCTGAACGTCCTACAGATCTATATTGTGTTGAGGCTGAAAGCCGTTTACTCTGAAATCAGTGGGGTATATATTTCCATATAAAGAATCTCGAACCGGTGCTAACGTTTATATCGTTACAAGTACCCCTCGCTTAGGCAACCTCCCGATTCCTGGGCGGATTCCCCCCGCGAACTCTGGCCCCCAAAGTTTTCCCAGTTGCCACCAAACTGTAGATCAAGTAGTTACGTCGGCCGGCAAATCCGCCCCCTCTGCTTTTGAAAAGAGGCAAAAACAACAACAACCACCCACCACTTCAAGGTGGGAAGAAACGATCAATGTGGGTCCCTATCTTGGAAGGCGAGCGTTTAACCCAGGTCCTTTAACCCAGGTCTTTACAAAGAAGAGAAAGCAAAGAACCCCGACTCTCCCTTCCAACCGCCGCCGCGCTTGCTGCGTTTCTCCCCCCTAGAAGGAGAAGGGCGGCCTCCTTTCTCCGAAGGGCCTTGAGCGTCCTTGGGGGCTTTGGATTCGCTCTCTCGGAAAGTCCTGGAGGAAACCTACCTTGGGCTGGGTGGGCGTGCGCAAGTCCTGGCCGGCGATTTCCTCTCCCCCAGGGTTCACCCCCGCTCCCGGTTGCCTGCTCTCCCCTCCCTCCCTCCCTCCCTCCCGCGGCGCCGCCTTTTTATTTGGCGTCGCCGGTCAGTCTGGGCAGGTTGGGCGCGTTCAGGCCGGAGACGTGGTGGTGCGAGGGGGCCGGCACCTGGCACATGCTGCAGGGACACGGCATCCCGCCCCAGTGCTGGAAGCCGCTGCTTAGCGGAGCCGCGGCGGCGGCGGCGGCGGCGGCAGCAGCGGCGGCGGCAGCGGCGGCCGCGGCGCTCGGCGGAGACTTGAGCAAGCCGTGAGAGGAGGGTCGGAGAGAGCCGACGGCCGACAGCCCCGCGGAGCCCGGCAGGGAAGCGCTGGAGACGGCGGCCGGGGGCCCCAAGATGGGGTGGTGCACGGCGTGGGAAGCCGGGTGAGTCGGCAGAGGCGCGGCGGCGTGGCCCACCAGGCTCCCCGAGCAAGCGGCGG